CAAAACTATTTGCACTTATGGGACTTAGAATGTATCTAACAGGGGAAAATGGAAAAATTAATAGCATAATCAATAGGTAATCTATATGTTAGAGGCTGCTAAGTCCTATAAAAATATAGCAGTTTGAGTATGGTATATTGGTTGGAGTTATAATTGTCAATCAGAAAATCTGAGTAAGCCTTATTAGAATGATTACTTTTAAATAAAGACTTGAAGGAGATAAGGGATTTATTCACGTGGATAGCTAAGGAAGAGAATTGTAACCAATCCAAAATTAATTTGAAGAATAAGGGAACAGTTTGGGTATCATTTAGTAAGCAAGGAGGATTTTGGTAGGGAATGAAATCAGTGATGTACTGAGGGTATAGATTCATTCTATAGATCACTGTAATAACATCAACTTTGTGAATGAAATGTTAAACTAATGGATATTTTTAAGTGGAGGAATAACATGATCTCAGTTTTAAAGCAAAATCACTTTAGCTGTTGTGTTAAGATGTGTCTAAAAAGATAGTGGTGATGAGGCTGTGCTTGTAGGGAAAGATGGGTATCCCAGGCTTCCTTGTGACTTTTTTAGGTTGAGACAAGTGATTTGGATTTAGAGAAGTGGTTTGGGGAAACATAGTCTGTTAAATCAATGCTTAGGTATATTTCCCTTGACAACTCTTAATAGACCTAAGTCGTCTTAGTAATAGTTGTTAAGTAAATTATTAAAATTTTTTAATGTTTGATAATATGTCACGACCAGTAATATAAGACAGAACCCATTAAAATGGTACAAATAGTGAAGAGTGTTCAGGCACAAGAGTTATAGTTTGGGGGAAATCAAGATAGTCTTCTTGAAGGAGGGGACGTAAAAAATAAGCAGCATTTTTCCTGTGGAATTTTGAATGGAGGAAAAAAAATATGTGGAAAAGGCAATGAGTTTAAAATACATGTAACAGTTGAAGGCTATAATATAGACCTATTAGAGTCTAAGATAATGATGGTTATTGGAGGATATAGCGCAAGGGAGTAGTGTAGTCTATGTTATCCCTCAGAAAGATTAATCTGATAGTGCTGTGGTATATGAATAGGAAGAATGAAGAACTAAGATGAGATCAACTGATATGAAAAATTGAGTCCTGAGTCAGAATAGTCTTTGTAAGGATGTAAGGGGTAAGACAGGCAGGAGTTACCATGCAGGTCAAATCTGAATGGTCCTAGTTACTAAAAAAGGTAAACTAGGCAAGAAGAGTTTTTCCTTTTTTTAGTTTTTGTTGTGAATTATGTGATAGTTTACATGGGAGAACATTAGATTTACATTCATCTTATCATATTTCGTTTCATTGCCATGATTACAATCCCCACCATGTATCATCAAACCACCAAAGGGTACACCCCGCAGGCCTGCCCCATGGTCGTCAGCACACAGCCCCTTGCCATCCCTGGTCTAGAGTCCCCAGCGGCTGCATCTCTCCATGTCATCATCTCTGCCTCCATCTCTGGCATCACTGCTTCTCTGGGTAGGGTCCCACACTCTGCTCTTCTCCCTTGATGGTCCCAGGGACCTCCACTCTTGGACTGCAAAGTCAACCACTCCCCTCCTTTTGTTACAAAATGTCTTCCTTTACATTGCAACACTCACAGTCAGCCCTGATAGCAATTATTCACTATTGTACCACAAGAGTTTTATCCCCATCTCCTTTCATCAGCCATGTCCAGACAGATTGGAAACCACTCAGTGGAGATTTCTACCTTCCCCCAGTACCCTCTGGAACTAGGCTACCTCTCGAAAGCTTGTAAGCCAGTCACTTCTTGCCTTTGTAGCCCCACCCCCCTTTTTGGGTAGCCAATATCTAAGTTGCCCATCCCTGTATACCCTGTGTACCGAGGGGTGGGGGGTGGGAATGATCTTTGCTGTAAATGTCTGTTCCCTCTTTTGAACTACTACATCCATAGGTATAGGTCAAGTTCATCAAATTGTTTCAGATTGCTCTTTTTTTCCTCTTCTTTCTTTTGCTAGTTAAGTTCTGATTATCCAGCCATTGAAGCCAGGTTAAGTGGGTACTATCTACAAGTGTGGGTGTTCTTGTTCATCTCCACTCACTTCTTATCAACTGGATGCTTCACTCTCCATTCTAGACCTCTGTGGTCTTGTTACTGCCTCTGGGCCCAAGAGTTCCTGGGTCTTGCCATACTTCTGGCTAGCCAGGTCTCAACCTCGGTTCACAGGAGTCTACTGAGTCTATGGTTGGACTTAGCTCACAACTTCATTGCTGTTTTTCCCCACTTCCCCTTGTCGGTGACTGACATGGTCACCAGTCAGAGTGCATTTTTGCTCGTGTATTCCCCTTGTGTCTTAGTCTTGGAAGGGGGTTTTCCACCACTTGCCTTGATGGCTCCTTGGCGAACAAGGCAAGAAGAGTCTTGATGAGTAAAATAAGCTCTAGAAAAGTTGAATTTTAAGTGCTTTCAGAATCAGGTAAGAAGAAGCCTAGTAGTAGTCATAGATGTGAGCATTAGCTTCTATTAGGTTTACTTCTGATGTAGTGTGAAATGATCTGGCAGTCATACCAAAAACCTTGGGAATAACCAATATGAAAAAAAGTCAAGCTCAATTTTTTTTTTGTCTAATTTATAATGAATGGTTACTATGTTGAGAGAATTCAGCATAGATTTACTTTTTGTAAAAGAATGGTCATTGTTTTTTGGTAAATACTTCACAGTGGAATCTTAGATTTAACAGTAAAAAATGAATACAGAGTATGTTTCATTAAAGTATGTTTTCAAATATTTTAGTAACAATTTAAAAACTATTAACCAATAGTTCAAGGTGTGTAGATGTAACATGTTTAAGAAATGTGCTATTCTCAGAACGCCAAAGTTCAATAAGTACCAGATTCCTAGTTAAGCCATTTTTTGCTCTCAACAACATCATTGAATCTCAATATTCAGTGTTTGGGTATTATGACCATAGCTATTTAAATAATACATATACATATATTGAAACAACTAAAGGAACTGTAAAAGCAAGCTGTTGTGTGGGTTACTTAGCCTTAATTCATGTTCTTCCCTAATTTCTAAGCATTCTGTAATATTTTGCTTTGCATTTATAATCAAAGGAAAAAATAAATAAATAAAAGGACTTCAGACTACCTACCTTCTCTGAATTCAGACTTCTACCTTCCTAGTGTCGTATTGTGGGTTAATGCACTGGACTGCAAGGTCGGTTTGAACTGCAAGGTCAGCAGTTCAAGCTCAGCAGCCACTCCTAGAAAACCCTATACAGGGTTGCTTTGAGTTGTAACTGACTCGATGGCCTTAACAACAACAACAAAGTTAGGACATTTGAAATTAGTTTATTTGAAATTAGTTGATTACATTTGACATTGGCATTTGGATGAGCTTTTTCCTCCTTGGGTCCTATCAGAAATTGACAACCTACAACAGGGGCTGTTAGTAATCCTTCATCTTTCTTGCTTCTGTTTTCCTTCACTTCAACTGACATACAGCTGTGAGAATCAGTACCAACCGTTATCTCAAAGAATCTTTGATTTGTCTTTAAGCATTAGTGATATGTGGTGGGGGGAAGAGAAGGATTGGTAAGAGCAAGACATCCTACTTATCTTTATTTCCTCCTCAAACTCTGCATGAAGGATACTTAGTATTTCGATTAATCCAAAGTGCTTCAGTACATCCTTTTTTTTTGTTTTTAGCAAAGCTTTGTGTGGCTGTCTTATGCTTCAAGCAATGAATGTATTTGTATTTTCAGGGAAATTTTGGTGAAGTGTACAAGGGCATATTAAAGGATAAAACTGCTGTTGCTGTTAAAACGTGTAAAGAAGATCTTCCTCAGGAATTGAAAATAAAGTTTCTACAAGAAGCAAAGTGAGTTCTCTTATAACATAAGTATTTATAAGTGAATCATCAAAATGTAAATTTGAAGACATCTTAAGTTGTGACTTGCTAAATTAGTAAGAAAGTAAGTCTTTTCAAAATGCCCATAAATCAATAGTTTCACAACGTGAATACAATGTCTGTGTTTTTGAGGTAGACTGAAGATCAACTAGGCAATCCTTGTCAAAGAATCTAGTGCTAACAAGTAGTAAATGAGGATTCTCAGGGATTTTTAAAAATACTACAATATTTTTTGCTTAGCTCACAAATACAAATATAAATGTTATTGCTTTTATAATAGAAATAATACTGTATTAATTACATAGGATATAGTTTATAAAAGTGTCTTCAAAAGGTTCATGGAAAATAGAATTGAAAGATAATAGAATTTTTCCACAGATGTTTTGAAGCCTGTCATACATAAATATAGGTATATTTATGTATGTAAATCTGCCTTACCCTCTTTGGAGTCCTGGTGTGGTGCTTTGGGTTGATGTGCTGGACTGCAAAGTCGTTTGAACTGTAGGATCAGTGATTCAAGATCACCATCCGCTTCTTGGAAACCCTATAGAGGGTCACTATGGATTGGAACCAATTCGATGGCACTTAACAACAACAACCCTCTTTAGATCTATCTTATGACTTGATTCTCTTTTTTCTTATGGCTGTTATCTGTCCTTTTTGAGAACCTCAAATATCTTCTTCAACTCAGTATTTTAGTATTTATTCAAAAATTTATGTATTGTGTCTTTTCTAACTTATTTTCTTAGATGATTCTATTCCCTTTTATATATTATTAGGTAAAGTTAATATTCCACCTGGCTTATTCCTGTATTGCATATAGTAAAACCCAAATGTATACAATAAAACTCAAAATAAATGAAAAGACACTGTGGACAGAGTAGCAGGATAAATATATGGATAGAAGGTGGGTGAATGGATGTATAGACAGATGGTCAGATGGATAAGAGACATGGAGGATACGTAGATCCAAAGTACATGGTATAAAGCGGGAAGGGAAAGAAGTATGTGCTTCTACTTATATATTTGTGTGTTTCCATCACGGCTTAGTATATAAAATGAAGTTTCTGTAAAATGTAGGGGGAGAAGGCAATGAGAGAACTAAGACATAGTGCATAGAGTATTTTCATTTGCGTTTTTTTCCAATCATTGATGGCAATATATTAAACTAGTCGGATGCATTTTTAAAATATCATTTACGGAATAATGTTGTTATCCTTTTTCTTTCATGTATATTCTTGGCAATTCAGAAAAATATTTTCATCAGAAATAAAAGGCATGCTATCAGGAATTGAAATTTCACAGCCTCCTCATTTTATTCTTAAGATACAAGACTATATCTAACATTTAAAAAAATATTTAAATAATTCTCTTGCTTTCAAATTTGTTACTGTTTTACTGCAATAGAAGAGTTTAATTTGCTCTGTTAAAATGAGATTTCATAGTTTCATGTTAAAAATGTAAATTATATCATTGCAGATTTCCCAAGTGTCCTGTAGTAGAGTGTAGAGCTATATTTGACAGAGCTTCAAAAAGGACACAGAAAAATGAAATGAAAAGATAATGGAATTTTCCTACAAACTTTTGAAGCCTCCTCATATTTAGATATCTAATGTTGTCTGAGTGAGTCTGTGCTACTTTGTGGAATTTCTTGAAAGTTATACATACTAAAACTTTTCCTAAAATTTTTAGTGAAACTCTAAACAAATATAGTTTGTTCTATTCTCTGAGGAAAGAAAACTGCAGTTTTCTATTATGAGTGATTAATAGTATAGTAAGTCATACATTTTGGTAACCGAAATCATCAGGGTAGACAGGTCTCTGAGGCCTTCTGATTTATTTCTTAGTATGTATGTTTGTGTGTGTGTATGTGTGTGTGTGTATGTGTGTGTGTCTGTGTGTGTATTTTGCTGGCTTTTTAGTCTGTCCTACATTTAGGACCTTAAAGCTTCCTGTAATAAACCTTTGTCTTTCTCCAAACTGAGTCTCGTCTGCTTTGGTTTAAGCTTCTTTTAAATCTACTAAGTAATTTTTAGGAGTCTTTGTGGATTGCTAACTACAAGATCAGCAGTTCAAACCCACTGGCTGCTCCTTCGAAACCCTTGACAGGGTTGATATGAGTTGAAACTGACTCGATGGCATGTAACAATAACTACAACAAATAATTTTTAACCTTTTTCTATCTTCCTCACAACTTTTTGAGCTTTTACATTTTGAAATTTGATCATGATTATCAGGAAAGCATTTAATTTAAAAAATATATAATGAAGTGGTTACCCTGTAATATTTTCTAGTATGAAATGAATTCTTATTTTTATGTTTCTAAAATCAAGTGTGTACATTAAAGAAAAGAAAAGATAAACCATCAAAGCAGCTGACAGTTTTTGGTCCACCGAATATCTTTCAGGGAATTCTAAACATTTTGGACTAAATAGATCATTCCTTTATGTTGTTAAGTGCCACCAAGTCGATTTCTACTCATCATGACTCTGTATAGGGTTTCCTAGGAGCAGCTGGTGGGTTTGAACTGCTGTCCAGTGGTGATCCTACAGTGCCACATCAGAAGTCCATTACTTCCTATATAGTGTGTAACAAAGAATGTGAGATTGGTGCAGGACTGGGCAGTGGTTCTTTATGTTGTGCTTCAGGTTACTATGAGTTGGTACTGACTTGATGGCAGTTAACAGCAACAGCAACAATGGTTGTTAGTCGTTAGAATTAGATCATTATTTTAAAATGAATATTTAATTGAATTAAGAAAAATGGACTCATTTCCCTCTATTATTTTGCCAATATTTATTTATTCGTATGTGTTTGCATATATCCCAATGATCATACATTGGGGTCATTTTGAGCCTTTAAAAATTGATCTGTAATGATTTCAGTACATTCTATTTGTTCGCATTGCTGTTGTGAAGTGCCATTGAGTCAGTTCCGACTCATAGGGACCCTGCATAGTGTTTCCAAGGAGCGAATGGTGAGTTTGAATTGCTGACCTTGCAGTTTAAATGAACCTTATTGTCAAGTGCTTATCCTACACCTCCACACTTGGACTCATTGTACACGTTGTATGATAAAAAGTTAGTTATTTAACTATTTATTATTCATATAAAAACTATTCTTATACCTTTTTCCTCTCTTATCCAGAATTCTCAAGCAATATGATCATCCCAATATTGTTAAACTTATAGGAGTTTGCACACAAAGACAGCCTATCTACATCATTATGGAACTAATTCCAGGTAATGTGATTTGAAAGGTTTGCATGTGTTTATGTTTGATGACAGTTTATATGCCATAACTTACTACTTTTACGTGTTTGGTCTCTGTTTTTCCCTTGTAAAGTTTATAAGGATTTTGTTTAACATTTTCTTGATGGCAAAATACCATGTTTTTAAATAGGTTTTAGTATTTTGATGTTTTTCTAAAAAGTGTCAGCTAACACTTTTTTAAGAGACAGATTTATTATTTTAGTGTCATTACACATGGACTTTAGTTATTTATAATGCTTATTTGAGAAAAGGTCTTTAGAAAACTAGTATACTTAGTTGTTACTGTATAACAATGATTATTGATGCTGTTGTTAAGTACTGCTGAGTCTGTTCTGACTCATCTGACAACCCTGTTTAGGGTTTCCAAGGAGCAGCTGGTGGGTTTTAACTGCCAAACTCAGGGTTAGCAGTCCAGTGCTTACCCTACAAGGTCACAACAGGACTCCATAACAACAATTATAGTAATGTTTTGTATTTATTTCTTTTTATATCATTGTTAAAGTAGATCTCCAAATAGCCTCTTGTTTCATGGTTGTACATAATAAATCCATGTTACTTAAAGTCACTTATGAGCTATAAACTTCCAATATCTCTGGAAAAAGAAAGACAGTCTGCCTAAGAATTTGTACTGGCATTTCTTTCTTTTGACTTTAAGCACTTGTGGGTTTTTGGTTAACAACTTTTCTTCATAGACAAGTACAGCCTCTAACTGATACATTGTGTTTTTAATTTTTTTCATTGTGTATCTGCTTCTTTTTGAAAATACAATCATAGAGGTAAATTTTTGATTTTTGTAAGGGTTACTGAATGTAGTATTTAATAACTGAAAGTATTTGCTTTACCTTAAGTAATTTAAAATCATTTAATTAAAATATATTAATTGAGCATAATATTGTAGGCTTCTCATTAAATACAGCTCACATAGTTCTCCCACTATTTAAAGATTACTTGCTGTTGTTTTTAAATGCTGTTGAGTGGTTCCGACTCATAGCCACCCTATATAGGATTTCCAGTGAGCAGCTGGGGGGGTTTGAACAGCTGACTTTGCAGCTCAAACTGACCTTGCACATTATCCTGTAGCACCACACCAGGACTCCATTTATGGATTACTCATCCCATTTTATCATATTGGTTTGCTTGTTTGGGAGTACTTCTTAATATTATCATATAACTGAAGGATTCCTAGGTCATTAGCCTCTTCATCCTCATTAAGATGGCGCTGTCACATGCAGTGTATGTTTGCATGGTGTGCCATATACTTACAGTATCTATCTGAAAGCACAATAGTTATGAAAAGATGAAAGAATATTGTCCAAAAATTTTTAAAAAATTTAACTAATTGTAATGAAAATGTGATGCAGAAATATATATATTAATTGTAATATATATTAATAGTAAATTATATTATAATAATGTAAATATATTTTAATAGTAATAAAAGTATAAATTACCTTATATGGAAGCTTTTGGAAAGATTCCACTAGCCAAGCTATTCTTGTTGTTGACAGTTACTGTCTGAGATTACTGTTGTGTTTTTGCAGTATGTCAACTTCAGTATCTCAACTTCTAAGATTTCCTGCATTCCTTTTCTCATGGCCCCCTACATTTTCAAAGCCAACCAAGTATTCTGGCTTTCTCTGATTGCTCTTCTGTTAGGAAAGTATATGCTTTCCTTTTAAGCACGTGTGTGATTAGATCAGGAGCACCTGGATTATCTCTAACTCAACTGAGACATCTAATCATATTTGCAGTTCTAGGGGATTACAGTGGGCACCTTTGGGAGGCTGTCTTGGTGTTCTGCTCATCACAGTTGTTGTTGTTGTTAAGTGCCATTGAGTCGGTTCTGACCCATAGCAACCCTGCATAGGGTTTCCAAGGAGTGGCTGGGGAGTTTGAACCGTTGACCTTGCGATTCAAACCGACATTGCAGTCCAGTGCATTAACCCACAGCTCATCACAGTAGGTACTGTTAAATTTTCTTAAAGGTTAGTTGCAATGTACCTTCTAAAACCACATCAACTTTCCATACTATATTAAGTCCATTGGTCTGTCTTGTACTTTTAATGTACTTTTTATCCATGCATAATTTTGTAGCTTTCTGCCATGACCATTTGAAAAGTATTAGGTCACCAGGTTATGCAAATCTTGCAAATGGTTTTTCACTGTATAGTATCAAAAGATCACATTCATTAATATAGCCACTGATCTCATCAGAAGAGCATTGATGGAGAAGTTATTATGCTCATGGTGGCAAATTCATGTTTTCTAAAATTTGAATTTGAATTTCAAAACTTGGGTTTTATCACTGACAACAAAAGCTGTCAGTTTTCCTTGAAGTATCAGACTCACTTGATTCATTTTTAAGAAAACATCTGTCAGACATGTAATTAAGTAACCATAGTTTATCATTCCTTCTCTTTTTCAGACAGCTTTGTTAGGTATGATTGGCATACAATAAACTAGACATCTATAAATTATATAATTGTTTAATGAATCATGACATGTATCTGTGTGTGGAGCCATCCCCATAGTCAAGGTAATGAACGCATCTCTGCGTTCCATATGCTCCTTTGTAATTCCTTCCTCTCAGCCCTCTGTGTCCCTGTCCCAATCTGCTTTCTCTCACTACACACGTATATTATTTTTCATTTCCTAGAATCTTATATAAATTGTATTTTATAGTATATATTCATATTTTGTTTTGCTCTGGTTTATTTAAATAAACATAATTATTTGAGATTTGTCCATGTTGTCCATGTCAATAGTTCATTCCTTATTACTGCTGAGTCAAATTTTATTGTATGAATAGACCACAATTTATCTGTTCACCTGTTGATGGACTTTTGGGTTGTTTACACTTTGGGACTATTATACATAAAGCTACTATGCCCATTCAGGAGTCCTGGTGCCGTGCTGTAGAATAATGCACTGGGCTACAAGGTCATTTGAACCATAAGGTTGGCAATTCAAACTCACCAGCAGCTCCCTGGCAACCCTTTATAGGGTCGCTATGAGTTGGAATTGACTTGACGGCACATAGCAACAATAATAGTGCCCATTCATGTACAAGTCTATGTATGAACGTGTTCTTTCATTTCAGGGGAAAATACCTAAGAATACAATAGATGAATCACAGCGTATATGTATGCTAACATTTTAAGAGGCTGCCAAACTGCTTTCCAAATTATGTTGTTGTTATAGTTCTTAATGTTAACTGCCATTGAGTCAGTTCTGACTCAGAGTGACCCTGTTTAGGTTTCCCGAGGAGCGGCTTATTTGAATTTGAACTTGCAACTTTGTAGTTCAGACAAACCTTGCAATCTAGTGCATTATCTTGCATCGCTACATCAGAACTCCAAAATGATAATAGTAATTTAATTTCCACCAGCATTCTGAGAGCTCCAGTACTTACACATTCTTGGCAGTACTTGATCTGGTTAATCTGTAGCTGTTTTAATACTTGTGTAAGTAATATCCTGTTGTAGTTTCAATTTGCCTTTCCTTGCTGGCAAAATGTTGGACATCTTTTCATTTGGTTATTTGCCATTTGTGTAACTTCTTTTGTAAAATGTGTTTAAATCATCTGCCTGTTTATACATTGGGTTGTTTGTTTGCTTATAATTGAGTTTTGAGAATCCTCTACGTATTCTGGATACAAGTACTGTATTAAATACATGATTTGGAACTATCTCATTCCTTTAGGAGTATCTTTTGAAGAGAAGTTTTAAGTCTTGATTAAGTTTATCAAATTTTTCTTTTACGGTTCATGCTTTTGGTGGTGATCTAAGAAATCTTTGTCTAGCCTAATGTCACAGATGTTTCCTCCTAAAATTTTCATCATGTTAGGATTTTAAATTTATCATCTATTGAGGGTCAAGTTTTATATATATTTTAAGTCATGGCTAGAATAGCCAGGTATTTTAGTATCAGTTATTTAAATTACTGTCCTTTTTTCATAATTTTCTTTTTTATGGTATTACTTTTTCATTTATGTATATATGTTGTTGTTAAGTGCT